AAAAAAAAAAAAAAAAGGTGAGTTCGTGACTTCTCTCTCTCTCTCTCTCTCACACACACAAGCGTGCGCTGCGCCCTTGCTTGCATGGCCCCGGCTTCGAAAAACTAGATTAGAATGAATCTTGCCACGTTATCTTGCCACGTTAGTGTGCAAGATTCATTCGAATCGATCTCTCTCTCTCTCTCTCTCTCTCTCTCTCTCTCTCTCTCTCTCTCTCTCTCTCTCTCTCTCTCACACACACACACACACACACACACAACAAATCCACGTATTCATTTATTCCCTCCCTTCTCTCTCTCTCTCTCTCTCTCTCTCTCTCTCTCTCACGCGCTTGCTTTCATGGCCTCGACTTCGAACAACTAGATTCGAATGAATCTTACCACGTTAGTGCGCAAGATTCATTTGAATAGAGCTCTCTCTCTCTCTCTCTCTTGCTTGCATGGCCCCGGCTTCGAACAGCTAGATTCAAATGAATCTTGCCACGTTAGTGCGCTAGATTCATTCGAATCTCTCTCTCTCTCTCTCTCTCTCTCTCTCTCTCTCTCTCTCTCTCTCTCTCACACACACACACACACACACAACAAATCCACATATTCATTTCTTCCCTCCCTTTTCTCTCTGTCTCTCTGTCTCTCTCTCTCTCTCTCGCGCGCGCGCGCGCGCGCACGCAGGCGTGCACTGCGCTCTTGCTTGCATGGCCCCGGCTTCGAAAAGCTAGATTAGAATGAATCTTGCCACGTTAGTGTGCAAGTTTTATTCGAATCGAGCTCTCTCTCTCTCTCTCTCTCTCTCTCTCTCTCTCTCTCTCTCTCTCTCTCACGCGCTTGCTTGCATGGCCCTGGCTTCGAACAACTATATTCGAATGAATCTTGCCACGTTAGTGTGCAAGACTCATTCGAATCGAGCTCTCTCTCTCTCTCTCTCTCTCTCTCTTTCTCTCTCTCTCTTACGCGCTTGCTTGCATGGCCTCGGCTTTGAACAGCTAGACGCGGCAAGATTCATTCGAATCTAGCTATTCGAAGCTGAGGCCATGCAAGCAAGCGCGTGAGAGAGAGAGAGAGAGAGAGAGAGAGAGAGAGAGAGAGAGAGAGAGAGAGAGAGAGAGAGAGCTGGATTCAAATTAATCTTGCACACTAACGTGGCAAGATTCATTCGAATCTAGCTGTTCGAAGCCGGGGCCATGCAAGCAAGAGAGAGAGAGAGAGAGAGAGAGAGAGAGAGAGAGAGAGAGAGAGAGAGAGCTCGATTCGAATGAATCTTTCC